TAGCGGCCATCTTGGAGGAGGAGCTGCAGGCAGTGGTACTCTTACAGTACCCCCCCCTCAAGAATCGCCTCCCGGCGACCTGAGGCGCTTGTCGGGATGATCCTTGAAGAAGGAGGTGATGAGGCTGGGGTCGAGGATGAAGGAACGGGGGATCCATGACCTCTCCTCAGGACCGTACCCCTCCCAATCGACGAGGTACTGGAATCCTCGGCCCCTGCGTCGCACATCGCGGATGGATCGGACCGTGAACGCAGGGTGGTTGTCGATCAGGCGGGGTGGAGGAGGGGGGTCAGAGGGAGGACACAGAGGGCTGGTGAGGACTGGCTTGACCTGGGACACATGGAAGGTCGGGTGGATCCTCATGGACCTAGGGAGCTGCAGCCTCACCGCAGAGGGGCCGATGAGCTGGGTGATGGGGAATGGGCCGATGAAGCGTGGAGCCATCTTGCGGGGGGTGTCCTTGAGAGGAATGTCCCGGGTGGACAGCCACACTTCTTGGCCCACCTGGTAGAGAGGGGCCGAGGAACGTTGACGGTCAGCGGCAGTCTTCATCTGGGCGGCCGTGCGGAGGAGTGCGGACCGCACCTGGCGCCAGACCCTGCGGCACCGTCGGAAATGGTGTTGCATGGAAGGGACCGCGCAGTCCACCTCTTGGCCGGGGAACAGAGGAGGCAGGTAGCCTAAGGAGGCTTCGAAAGGAGATAGGTTGGTGGCGGTGGAGCGATGGGTGTTGTGGGCGTACTCAACCCAAGCCAAATGGTGACTCCAGGCTGACGGGTCCTTCTCTGCCATGCAGCGCAGGATGGACTCCAGTTCTTGGTTGGCCCGTTCAGCCTGGCCATTCGACTGTGGGTGGTAGCCCGAGGTGAGACTGGTGGTGGCCCCCAATGACTTGCAGAAAGAGCGCCAAACCTGGGACACGAACTGTGGGCCACGGTCCGACACGATGTCCGAGGGGATACCGTGCAGTCGAACCACGTGCTGCGTCAGCAGGTGCGCTGTCTCCATCGCAGAGGGGAGCTTGGACAGAGGAATGAAATGGACCGCTTTGGAGAAGCGATCGATAATGGTTAGTATGACTGTGTTACCTTCAGAGGGTGGGAGTCCGGTAACAAAGTCCATAGAGATGTGGGACCATGGACGGCTCGGGGTGGGCAGAGGTTGCAGGAGGCCGGAGGGAGGTTGGGTGCCCGTCTTATTGCGGGCGCACGTGGGACAGGCAGCAACGAACTCTCTTATATCCGCAGACATGGCTGGCCACCAGAAGTGAGTCCTGGCCAGGGAGATCATGCGGGTGGAACCTGGATGACATGAGAGTTTAATGTTGTGAATCCAGTGTAGTACCTTTGGACGCAGAGCAGTAGGCACGAACAAGGTTCCAGGGGGGCCACCACCAGGGTCCGGTTCCACCTTCCAGGCCTCCCGGATTTCCTCTTCGATGGGCCACGTGAGGGCCCCAACGATGCAGGTGGAGGGAAGGATGGTCTCCTCGGTCTCCGTGTCGTCAGGGGGGGCGAACTGGCGAGACAGTGCGTCCGGCTTGACGTTCTTGGAGCCGGGCCTAAAGGTGAGAACGTAGTTGAACCTGGTAAAAAACAGTGACCAACGTGCCTGGCGGGGGTTCAGGCGTTTAGCGTCCCGCAGATAAGTTAAGTTTTTATGGTCAGTCCAAATCAAAAACGGGGTCTCCGTGCCCTCCAGCCAGTGCCGCCATTCCTCCAATGCCAGCTTAACTGCCAAGAGTTCACGGTTTCCCACGTCGTAGTTTCGCTCTGCTTGGGATAAACGTTTGGAAAAGAAAGCGCAGGGATGGACCTTGTTGTCCTCCAAGGATCGTTGAGACAGCACTGCCCCCACCCCAGTGTCTGATGCGTCCACTTCTAAGATAAACTGTCTGCGTGGAT